CTAGGGTAGTAAAGGTAAAGGGACCCCTGACCGTTAGGTCCAGTCGTGGCCGACTCTGGGGTTGCGGCACTCATCTCGCTTTACTGGCCGAGGGAGCTGGCATACAGCTTCCGCGTCATGTGGCCAGCATGACTAAGCCGCTTCTGGAGAACCAGAGCAGTGCATGGAAACGCCGTTTACCTTCCCGCCGGAGCGGTATCTTTTTATCTACTTGCACTTTGACGTGCTTTCGAACTGCTAGGTTGGCAGGAGCAGGGACCGAGCAACAGGAGCTCACCCCGTCACGGGGATTCAAACCGCTGACCTTCTGATTGGCAAGTCCTAGGCTCTGTGATTTAACCCACAGCACCACCCGCGTCCCCTAGCCTAGGGTAGTAGCATCTCCTAAAATAGACCCTTTTACTCACCGATCAGCATCCCACATAGCCACAGCTTTGCCATTGCAACCAGGATTCCTTCATTTACAGCCCCACGGTCTTTTGCTAAGTCAACGTCAGTGACCCTCTCTTCCCCCTATGTAGTCTGCTCAGGGCAAGACTGATGGGAGCCAGGAACTTCCTGCCAGCTCGCTGATGAACCCAGTCATGCTCTGCAGTTTCTGCTTAAAAGTGAAATTTAGGGTCAAACTGCCATGAATGAACAAGTATGTAGCTTGTTATATAAACAGAAACCACAGAGACAGAAGTGAAGCTGCTGAAGAAAGCATATAGTATTCTGCTAGAATGGGAAACAAAAGATGAAGAGGTCAAATCAGTTATGATTAAATGGGCACAAGATATAGGACACAGTATACAGTTTGAGGACTGGGAAAAGCTGTGGAAGTTAGATCTGGAATTTACTGACTGTTCTCTGCTGAAAGAAAACTATAGGAAAATGATGTATAGATGGTATATCACATCAGTACAAATAGCAAAAATGTATAAAACCGGGTCAAACAGAAGTTGGAAATGTAAAGAAAAAGAAGGTACTTTCTATCATATGTGGTGGGAATGTAGAGAAGTTTTAAAAAATTGGGAAATGATATATAATGAATTGAAAAAAATGTTCAAAATAACATTTGTAAAAAAAACCAGAAGCATTTTTGTTAGGGATTGTAGGACAAGACCTGCCAAGAAAAATAAAAAACTTATTTATGTACGCTACAACAGTGGCAAGTGTCTTGTTAGCACAAAGATGGAAGAACTAGGAAATTCCAACGAACAGTGGCAAGAAAAACTGATGAACTATGCGGAACTGGCCAAGTTGACATATAAACACCAACAATTGGGAAACACTTGTCTGAGAGCGCTCCAATTGGAGAACAGCCTTTACCAAAGGTGTCATGGGCTTTGAAGACACTCAAACTCAGGACGCAAGGGAGAAATGTGCTAAAAGGAAGACACGCTTGGCAAACCCTCACTGTGATCAACTCCCACCTGGAAATCTAGGTCCCCATTGTGGAAGGACGTGTGGATCCAGAATTGACCTCCACAGTCACTTACAGACTCATTATTAAAACCGTGTTTATGGAAGACAATCTTACTTGGCTACGATTGGCTATGATTGCCAAAAGCAGCAGCAGAAGAAGAAGACTCAAGACAGTGTGAGACAGTGGTTAGAGCAGAGGTTTGGGTAACTCCTCCCCCCACCCCACCCCTGCTTTGGCCTGAGGGCCATGTTAGCTGTTGGCCAACCCTGCGAGGGCCACCTGGCAATGTTGGGCGTAGACAAAGCAGAAGTGGGCATGGCTTCTCTTGCAGATAGAGAGATCCCCGTGCCCCACACAGAATACAGAACACATACAACACACATAGGCCTACCACCACTGCCCACCCACCCCTACCTCATGTCAATCACCCCCTCCCCACTAGAGTGTTGGACTAGGACCGGGGAGGCAGTCCTGCCTCCTGAAGCTCAATGAGTGATGGAGGTTGGAGCTGAATAGCATATCCTCTCCAAACATTTATCCGATGAAAACAGGGACATTCTATTCAATAACAATTGAAGCTTTCAGGAAGCTGGTTGTCATCAATTTGGGGAGAGAAATGCCTGGGATTGCTTTTCAGAACTGGGATATCACAGGGTTGGGAGAGCTGCGGCCCCGTCCAGCTACATACTGTTTCTCAAAAGTAATTTCAGGCATTTCTACGGATTGACAGGAGATTTGGGATTGCTATGCACCAGGGAACATGCTTATTGATCTGACAGAAGCACTGGCGGTAATTGAAACAGCTGAATGTGCATCCAAATAGAAAAATGTCCCAGGAAACCTAAGAGCATCAAATTAAAGAGATTGTAGGAAGTGGCAATTCCCCAGAGTAGCTCATGTTTGTTGCTATTGATAAAGGTTACAGCTAAGTGGAGAAATGCATGAATAAGGAATGCAGCTACCACACAGTTAAAACAGTTTATTCAAAGCGTGCAGAATTTGGAGAGGGGGAGAGGAAGCCACACAAATTAATATTACTTTTCATAAGGGTGACTAATATTTTTTGGCATAAATGAATGTAGATCCAGGTGTCAGACACAGGGGTGAAGCCAAACTGCTGTGTTATCAGCCCCGCAGCAAGCTCCCTGGGGTGCAAGCCTAGGCAGTATCTATGTAGGTCCTGGGCTGCCCAGATGACATACCTTCCCTCTCGCCTTCACTGATGTGGTCCAAAGGAAAGAAGAGCAAGTCCTTGCAGTTATATGTGAATTTTATTTATATTTATTATTGTCGTTATTATTCAGCATTACCTGACATTTTCATGAGGTAAAATTAAAATTCCTTGGTTTTCCAAAAGCAGTTCGTATGCTTCTTCATCAAACTTACAAGGCTAAATGTTGTCCGATCACACAAAAAATAGCAGATTTGAATTCCTCACAGCCAAAAATGTATTATTAAGACCGCTTGCAGAAGAAATTTGCAGAAATTAAGCTTTGCCCCTTAAAATGACATGCCCTAAACTATGTAATGTTGATTCATTCTGATTCGTTTGAGGAGAAATTAGACGGTGTTGCCTCGCAGCGCGTGTTACCTCACTCTTTCCAGCACAGTCGCTTTATTGCCCAAAGTCTGATCTTCTGAGGAAGCGGGGTTTGTTTCTCCTTTTTTATAATTTTTTATAATGCTTTTTATTGGTGCTCCATTTAATACAAACAAAAAAATACAGTAAAATTCAACAATCATTTACCCACATTCTTTCCCCACACTGCTGAGCATTGACTTCCTTCCCTCCCTTCAACAGGTTTTCTTATGTCAGTTACTTTTCCAGTTTCTTATTGTATCCAATCCTATCTATATTAAGATTTATTTCAGTCCTGCCAGAGTCTTCAGATTTCTACAGTTATTATTTATGTACTCCATAAATTTACTCCAATCTTTTTGGAATTTTGCTTCCTCCGATTTCGGATTCTACAGGTCAGTTTTGCTAGTTCCACATAATCAACCATCTCCTCTATTGTTGGTAATTCTGGTACTTTCCATTTTGGGGCTAACAAAGTTCTGGCAGCAGTCGTAGCATACATAAATAACCTTTGAAGCGGGGTTTGTTTCTCGAGGGCTCCGGATCGACGGCCTGAGTTTGGTGGTTCTGCGATGGCATCTCAACCATCTCTGGAAGCTCTCCAGCAACTCAGAGCTCCAAGTCCCACACAGATAGCGGGTGGCTGCCCTGGGTGCTGAGGAAAGGAAGCAGTTCCTCATGGAAGGACACTTGGAAGGTGTAGAGGTGGTTCATGCTGCTGCTGTTGTAGAAAGAGAGCTGGCCCCCTTCGAAGTCCAGGTAGACCCCCACTTTATCCATCCTCCCGCAGACCGAGAGCAGGGTCCGCGGCTCGCTCAGGGCTTGGTACTCTCCAGCCCGCAACTCGATGGCCCACACACCTTCCTTGGGCCGGAAGTTCAGGCGCTTCTTGCGTTTCACCGACTTCTTGGCCGCCCCGATCACCCAGCCCGCACTGTCCCCGACACGCACCTCCCAGTAGTACCGGCCCGTGGTGAAGCCCTTCCGGCCCACCACGCAAGGGCTAGAGGTGAAGCGCTCAGGTTTCCGTCGCCAGAAGCGTCGCCCCGGGCTGAACTTGACCCCGGTGGCTTCCTCCACAAGGACCAGGCTGGGGTGAGCGGAATTGCAGTCCAAAGTGATGCACGCAGGGACTGGGGGAGAAAAGGACAAGAGTGCAGAATTATTTTAATGTTTTTATTATATAATTATTATAATTATAATTACAATAGTAATAGTAATTTATTTATATCCCCTCTCATCTGGCTGGGTTTCCCCAGCCACTCTGGGTGGCTCCCAACAAAATATTAAAAACACAATAAAACATCAAACATTAAAAACGTCCCTAAACAGGGCTGCCTTCAGATGTCTCATAAAAGTCAGATAGGTTTTTATTTCCTTGACATCTGATGGGAGGGCATTCCACAGGGAGGGCGCCACTACCGAGAAGGCCCTCTGCCTGGTTCCTGGTAACCTCACATCTCGCAGTGAGGGAACTGCCAGAAGGCCCTCAGAGCTGGACTTCAGTGTCTGGGCTGAACGATGGGGGTGGAGACGCTCCTTCAGACATATTGGGCTGAGGCTGTTTAGGGCTTTAAAGGTCAATTGTTGTTGTTGTTGTTTGCAGGTCCACACATCGGGGAGTTGCTCACATGAGCAATCGAACACATGGAGGCCTACTAAAACCTATTCCTGTTCACCGTATCCTGACTAATGAGCCAGAACTTCCAGATAACAGGAAGGCAGAGCATAATACAGTGGTGCCTCGCAAGACGAAATTAATTCGTTCCGCAAGTTTTTTCTTCTTGTGAGTTTTTCGTCTTGCGAAGCATGGTTTCCCATAGGAATGCATTGAAAATCAATTAATGTGTTCCTATGGAAACCGCTTGCCAGGCTGGCGGTGCGGAGAAGGGCTTTTCTCCCCACCGCAAGCCTTCAGGACAGGTACAGGAACAGAGGGGAAGGGGCGCAGCACTTCTCCTCTGTTCCCGGGGCTTGCGGTGGGAGGAGGGTTTTTCCTCCCCACCGCCAACATTCAGAACAGCATTCTGAATGTTGGCGGTGGGAAGGAAAACCCTCCTCCCACCGCAAGTCTTCAGGACAGCCATCCGAAGGCTGGCACGGGGAGAAGGTCTCTCCGCCCCACCGCCAGGCTTCGGAGCAGCCTTCCGAAGGCTGGCGGCGGGAGGAGGTCTCTCCGCCCCACCGCCAGCCTTCGGAGGAGGTCCGAGGACAGTGGGGAAGACGCGCTGTGCTTCCCCGCTCTCCCGGAGATTTCCCTATGGGCTTTTGTCTTGCGAAGGAAGCCCATAGGGAAATTCGTTTTGTGAAGCGCCTCCAAAACGAAAAACCCTTTCGTCTAGCGGGTTTTCCGTCTTGCGAGGCGTTCGTCTTGCGGGGCACCACTGTATAGCTGCCTCTTTGGGATTTTCAAATACACTTGACCTGAAAGCCCCATTTCCCAGAATGCAGCAG